CGTAGTCATATTCGGTACTGTTGACGACTAGTAAAGGTTTACTTGGCTGTTGATCAAGTTCAGTAGAGTTGGTCTTTATTGATGAAGGATATGCGGACGAAGTTTTTAACGAAAAGTAAACGTTGTTATTTCTTTCCTTAAACATTTGACAGAGGATCTCTTCTGTTTGAGTACGATTACCTGTCTGGCTTTCTGAGCATATTTCTTGGTCGCTCTCACAAAATTCTTCATCGTCACTCAGAGAACAGTCACTAATTTGGTTACACAGAGATGAAGAAGGTATGCATTTGATATCGTCTCGACAGCTAAAAGTGTTTTCATTGAGAGAACTATAGTTCTTATTTTGACAGTACTCAAGTTCGTCCGATGCACCTAGGCAATCGATGATTCCATCATTTACTTGATCAATAGACAGGCAAATCAAAGTATAATTCTGAGGTAATACGCAAGGACGTGATCGAGAAGGACATTCTGATCTGATACAATCATCCTCATCTCGTCCATCATGACAAGCCCACAAATGGTCGCATCTCGTGTAAAGGTGATCACATGGCCAATGTTCGCATTCTGTTTCATCACTGTACTTTTTTCCATCAATATCTTGGGGTAATATATCCTCAACCCCATTACATAGTTTTTGGAAGTATATTCCATTAGAACTGTCCTTTGGATGCTTCTCGCACATATCAGCATCGACTATTGGTGAGAAACATTGACTTTCTGTCTCAGCACATCTGAAACGATACACATCGTTCAGTGAACAACTAAATTCATATGTCTCGTCGTCGCCCATATGACAATCAACGATACCGTCTAAAAGACGATGCTTAGAAATGTATTTTGACGAGTTTCGACAACAATAAAGTGATGGATGTAGTTTGAATAGATTATCGTGTTCAGTTCTATGTGCAATGGAACAACCACGAAAATAGTTTCTAATAGCCGAAGTAAACTCTACATAATCGCGCGTATAAGCAATTCCTATTTCATGACGATGTCGGCAAGTGAGATTATTATGATGGAATGTGGGTAGAATAAAATCACAACGATTCTTATCATAACAAACGTAATCAGGAAGAAGGATAGAAAAATAGGTTAGTGTCTCCGTATTGGCGAATGATGAGTGCTCGGGACCGAAGAAGGATGAATTAGGACGAGCTCGTAATACGTCTGAATAACTAGGTTTACTGTTCAAGAATGGATTGATCATACCAGGGCTTGGTCCTGGTAAAACAGGTTTAATAAATAGCCCGGAAATGTCAGGACTAATAATTAATGATCCAAAAGAATCAGGATTAAGGAGTGATGATCCAGAAGAACAAGGATTTAGAAGTAATAATCCAGAATGACAAGGATTAAAGAGTGATAATTCCGGATAACCGAGAAAATGACCTGATCCAAGTTTAGAAATATCTACATCCCCAAGGGGCTTTCCATTTAAGAATGTTTTTCTGTCAAACGTGACGCTTTGGGTACTGCGGTAGAGGAACCGTAAGTGACCATCAAGAGCGTAGGTCATTGGAAACTGGAATGTTGACTTGCAGGACAATAAGTAAGAGTTATTTTCCACATAGAGAGAGTTAATGATAGAAGGACATAAGAATCCATCATAATCATGGATGATCAGAGCGAAACAAGTCATATATTTCCAGCACTCTTCTGATAGACCTTCTTTCGCTAAAAGGGTTTCTTTCAAAGCGTTGGTTCGACCATTTGCACATGAACCAAAATTCTTTACGCATTGTCCATCTCCACAAGGAAAGTCTTCTTGGCCTGGTCGACATGAATGTTCTTCACATCGAAATGTAGGAACTCGAAAACAGACGTCAAAGGATGATAGAATTTCTGGCTCGTCTGATCGATCGAGACAGTCAGGGTTATTTTCATCATCGTGCCAAAAATCTTTTGGAATGCACAATCCATTATGACATCGATATTCGGCTTCACTACACTCGTTTATCTCCATTTCAAAACATTGTGCTTCATCGACTCCTCCATCAATGCAATCAATTCGTCCATCACAAACTTCTCGCCAATCGAGACACAAGTGTGACCCACCGCGATCACATTTTAAATGGTTATAACAAGTTAAATTTGACAAATCGGCATAACTTTCTTTATATTTCCTTATCCGACTGAACGTAGTTTCGACAATCGCAGAAAATGACATGCGAACATTTAAGACGAACGAGTATTGACATCGGGAACCGAACCAAGGACTTGTACAGTTGAAAAATAATTCATTTGATGACGAAACATTAATGATCGATTGGCTCACATAGAGAAAGTACCGTTCTACAAGGTCGATTGAAGCTGACCATGACAGCAATTGTTGAACAGTCACGTTTAAATGACGAAGTTTTTCAAATGTAAAAGACTTATGGCTTGTATTGGAATTGGGTAACGATGCATCAATTTCGTTCACTGGACGAATACAGTACTCAATGCGTTGATTCATCGAATTGTCAAATCGAGTATCGATATTTTCACTGCGCGCATAATAGTGGAAACAATCAAACTGCAATCTACCTGTGCCGAACACTCGATCAGTATCGTAGAGATTAAACTGTGCATAAACTATTGGTCGAAGTAATAAGACCACCAAAACAAAACGTAGCAACATTATAGGAATGACGCTAGATATGATTGTCACACCATTTTTATATATTCTCTGTTTTTCTCACACGAGAACTAAAACATTTAATGTTTGGTAACCGGTCACAAACGTGCTGTATCAGAATCAATGGAAGTTGTCAACAATACATGTCTCTGTGTCTGAAATCTAATAGCTATTACATGTTACCGTTTATTTGACTTAAAAAGGCAACAAATATGTGATTTTACCATATTACATATAATTTTAGGAGGTTATCATAGAATCAATGTCAGGAAAGCAAACGTTAATTAGGGATGCCTGTGTTTCATCGCCTATATCTCAATTATTTTAAGAAATAATGTTTTTCTTGAATTTTCATGGGGCAGAGAGCTGACTTCTCCATCCATCCAGGAAGCGCATCACGAAAGTCACAAACGATCATATATGGTTTGCAGCACGGGAAGGTATCAAATGTGAGTGTGGGTATGGGTGGGGTGTGGGTGCGTGAGCATGGGTGTGTGAGTGTGGATTTGTGGGTGTCGGCGTGGGTGTGGGTATAGGTGTGGATGTGGATATGCGTGAGTGTGGAGCTGGGTGTTGGGAGCGTTGATCTTGAAGAGAAGATACGCATCCCGCCCACACTCCTGCTCACACACCCACAGCCATGCTCACACTCACACGTTCCCTCACTCATACTCACATCCACCATACCCACGTTGACTTGTCCACACCTGCATCCACAGGCATCCACACCCCAAGGGGGAAAAAGCAGATTTCAAGATTCCCAAAGATTCTTAAAGCTTTCCAATGATTCCCCAAAGATTTCTAAAGATTCTCAAAGATTCCCAGAGATTCCCAAAGATTCCCAAAGATTTCAAAAGACTCCAATTGAAGGAAATCTGTGTGCTTTAATAAATCTCTACGTGAGATACTATAGGGGAGTGACTCTATGGTCTTTTTGAGTTCTTTCTGAATTCCAAATGAAAAAAAGGCAAACTTTTCCCCGACAGGGTAGGGGTAGGGATCCAGAAAAAAAACAAGCGCATTTTTTCCAATACCAACCATCATCAACTCCTTATATACCAACACCGTCAAATTAATCAACAGCCCATACAACATTAGCATGCACACCCATTCAAGAGCACACTATATTCGAACAGTAAAAAGCTATTGAGTACAGTCTCACGCTCATCCTCATCCTCATCGTCACTCTTCCTTGTACCTTTTGTTACATGGAGCTGGTCTTGGAGGCTAGGGAGCCTATAGCTATATCATATGTCTTTTTATAAATAGGGTGGGGCTAGCGGATGCTTAGCTATTTCATATACACTTTTATGAATAAGGTGGGGCTTGGAAGGGCTAGAGGATCCTTAGCTATTTCATATACCTTATTTTAAATAGGGTGGGTCTTGGGGGTCTAAGGGGTCTTCAGGTATTTCATATACTCTTTTATAAATAGGGTGTGGGTGTGAGGTGGGGTGGGGTGGATGGGATGTGGTTGTAGGTGTGGGTGCGATGTTCTATGAAATCCAGACCCACACCACCCACACCCACGATTGGAAAAAGTTTATAGCCGAAAATGATGTTATATGACCCAGTTTTTTATGCTGATTACAAATATGATATCCGTTTTTCGTTTACATTCGATAAAGTATGAGTTTTTGAGGTTTTTTAAGGTAAAATATGCGGTCTTGCACCATACCGTCATAAATTATCGATTTTCTCTAACTAAACAAAACCATTCTGAAAAGTCTATGCATACGTTTGTTGCTCTCTCGACGACGGTTCGAATAATATCCAAAATTTAATTTTGTCTCCTGTCTGAAAAAACTAGATAGGTTTACAAGTTACACTAAATATTCACTGCTCTGGATACTCCTATTGAAATAAAAATAAAAGCCAATTTAGATTTAAACAGATTCAAAACTAGCTTTCTATAGACAGCTTTGGATGGTGAATAAGAATAAAATAGTTTGAGATTTAGAACTACAAAACAGGAGATAAATAAACCCAATTTTCAAAAACTAAGTTGATTTGTCCTATATATAGAGTACCCTTAGTATTTCGATCTTTTCTCCTATAAAAGAGGCTTGAGAAGGTTTTTAAAAAATATTTTCTTACACAGTTTGATGAGCTCTATCTAACCGTATATAAATCATTGAGAAGAAAAATTTGCTCAAATTTGGCATTTCCGGTACCTTACAATCACACACGTATTCCAGTCATTCCTATTTTGAGGAAAGTTTTTGAAAATATTCTACAATTTTTCTAGAACATTCTAAGTCTTATTGTTAATACTGTTCATTTCCTACGTCAAGTCTTTTCTTTTGCTTTATCGATTTGTTATCTTTAATTTATATACAATATTTTTTCAGTAAATTCATTTGAAAAGTTTTCGTTGTAATCAAGTGACATTCTGTTTCTTACATGTAGCAGTTACTGATCCGCCTAACAACTCTTTTGAAGTAGGTAACGGCAATATAATCATGGTTGTAGATGCATTCGAATTTGACGATACCGTACAATGTTCACCATAGCCTACTCGATCAACCGTCACTTTTACTGTGCCATTCACTCGTGTTGGATGGGATGCTGTTAAAGAAAAATCAGTAGAATTTTCACTAAATAAATAAGCTCCAGCATCATTCAACTGAATAGTTATTGAAAACAGTAAACTTTTGCATGAGAACGTTGCAGTGCTATTATCCCACAAAACAAATGATGCACGTTTACGTGTAGGCCATATTGTTCCATGGAAAGTATTGTTGGTTGAAATACATGAAAAGACTTGTTCTTCATCATACTGTTTTATCACAGCTGGTATTGATTCGAGAGAAGTATTAGGTAAAATGATATAACCATAGTCACGAATATACGGTCCAACTCCATGATTTATTGATACAGTTAACATTCGTGCTGTTACCGTAGAATTGAAGGGACCAATTGCATCATAGTTACCTGTTTTGATTCCAATTTCTATTTCTAATGAAGAATACTGTCGTTGTATTTGTAAAAGATAACCGATTTCAGTTCCACCAACGTGTATCCATTGTACATTAAATGTTGTGTTTTGACTATATGGAAAAGAATAATTTCCATCTATGAGAGTAATCACAGTCGAATTAAAAAAACCAATGGTTATCTGACCAGCCACTACTAAACGACTAGCAAGGGTAGTCCATGCTGTTCTTGATAAAGTCAATGTTAGATTAGTAGCAACTGCAATAATTGCATCATCATAGAAATGCCATGATCTTTGTGCAGTGAGATTATGCGATGCTGTATCCATTATAGCTAATCCATATTGACCATCACTAACTCCTCCGACAAATGACATTTTTTTCATAGGAAAGTTTCCATTTTGACATGGTTCAAGCGGAATATCATGTTCAACGGTGATACCATTAATAGCCTGCCAATCAATAATGGCGAAAATTTCTGCATAGTCATTTTTACCAGCTATGTACAAATTGAGTACGCCTTGACCACCGTGCTCATCTTTTAAATTTTGACCATTGATACATTCTACTGGTTGTGATCTAATTGATTGCATTTTAATTGTAGATATCCATGTAACTCGACGATGTACTTGATAATCAGAAGTGAAAAAATGTTTATTACCAATGAGTCTTGAAGCATTTGATTTTCCATCAAGACGATCAACAAAATCGATCAGTTCATTTCGAGTATCATTCAATTGAATAAACTGTGCTAATGATCTCATCCAACTTCTTTGAAATCCATTCTTAAATCCATTACCTGGACCCGAAATACCTCTACCAACAACATGCCAATCCCATTCCCTATCGATGATCATCCATGCATCACCTTGAATTAAAAACTCAACAAATAATAACAACCGTTGTTTATCTAATTGATATTGAGTATCATTGCTACATAAGATAAATAAAAGTATATTATTAACCCATACTAATCCATAAGCACCAGAGAGTAATTGTTGTCCATGAAAATGATAAGACCAATCAATCTGAACACCTTCTCCATCCAATGGTGAAATAGCTATATCTTCCCACATTCGTTCAAAACCTTGTTCGATGCCCGTGATATTGACAGTTGCTAATGATCGATACAGTTGAACTTGAATCATCCACACTAAATTAGCACCAACATCCTGTGGTCTGTGCAGCCACCAAGCTGCACGGTAAGATATTTCTTTGATTTTTTCAATCTGGAAATTAGTTGCATTGTCACCTAACATCAACAATTGACCAGTTGCTTCAAGTGGTATGTTAATTTGATTAAACCACCAATTAGGATTTTGCCAGTCATTGTTTAGCCAAACGTTTAGAGCACAATGAACAGCTAATAATATTTTCGTATCATTCTGAACTGTTGAATCGGGTACAGATAATGCTTGCAACATGGTAGTTATTCTGTACATATGGGTTGCGGTAGACCAAACAACAATGCTTTCATCTGCATAGTTGATATCTGACCAATAACAAGTACTATTGAGTGCTTGAGCATATGCAATAGCATTTTGCACAGTTCGTGGTATGTTTTCTTTTGTTGGCCAAATTGTTAGGTTTAAGACACGATGACGAATGATGGAGATATCATCGTTTGATAAATTTGTAACAGTAGAGAAAGTCAATAAGAAGATTAAAAATGAAATAATTGTGATAGGAATGCTGTATCGCGTTGTCATCATGGGTGTTAGTCGGTGTTCGATAATATCTTTACTTGTGTTTTATATTATTATCATTATCAGTTTGTTGTTATCAGTAGTGAAACAAGGACTGCTACTCAAAAGTCTTATGCACTATGACTTATCATACCGATACCGAAAAATCAAGAAACATTTTAAAACGTATGGTTGTTATTTAGCCTACAATCATTAGTATATAATTTTATTTTCTGCCATATCTACTAGTAAAGGAAATTACAGGATTTATTGCCATAGGATTTACTGCCGTTCTAAATATATATTAAGAAATAGAAGTTTAGTTTCATAAGGAGAATGATATTGTTTTACAATGTAAGTTATTTGGTCAAGTTGGATTGATTTTATTTTATATATTTTTTTCTGTAAGTGATATAAAAAGAAAAAATTAGGTTTGTAAGGTAATTGTTAATATAATATAAAATTGTTATTATTATTTGGTGAACATAGGAACACTGAATGACTAATAAGATTTAAAAGAAAATAAATCTTTTTTAATTGAATAAGTATTTTCAATGATTTTTTATTCTCAAATGGGAACATAGGGACATTCAATGATTGATATAAAGTCATAATTATCTTGTTTTTTTAGATTTACTTCGACAAAAAAAAATGAAGGGATATTTATTCTAGTTGAGTCTCATTGTTTTTTTTCTGATAAAGCTTTTGAATCTTTATGTAACCAGTAGAAGATGCGATTTTGATAATGAAAAAATTTTATTATTTAATCAAGAAAGAAAATCAATTAGCTTAGCCAATAATTGGTCATTTTTTATGAAACAATTGAACATTTATCTTTAACAAAACTATCTTTATACGATGAAGAAATTAAAGTTTTTTTCAATCTCATAGTAAAACATATGGTGTTAATAACAATTTCTCACTAGTTATGTGCAATCATTTCCGAAATGTTAATCTACGTACTATAAATTATCTAGAAAAATGTCACAATAGATAGAAAAAAAGATCTATAAAAACCACATAATGATGTATATACATGCATTGATATGTTTAAATACAAACAATCGTTAGTAGCAGATGAATGTCGAAGAACTACTTGCGTTACAGAAGAATCATTATGTAGGTTATAGGATAAACTACAAAAATACAAGTTTAATAGAGAAACATTATAAAAAGTTACTGATCTTCATTATTTTTAATATTTAAAAATTGAATAAAATTTCAAATTAACGATTTATTTCAGAGTTTTATCGTAATTTTTTTCTATCAGAATGAACTTATAATTTTGGTTTTAAATGGTTTATTAAATTAAAATTAAAAAAAAAATAGCTATACCATATCAAGTTAAACTTTGTTAATATGATAAACTAATTTACATATCTGTGAAAAATGAAAACGTTCGAGTCTTGATGTAACAGAAAATGAGTTTCATTAAAAAAAATGTTCACTGTTCGAGTCAGAATGGAATCACGAATATCTCGTTATATTGATAATGTGTTGGAAAATAGATGAAATAAGAGCATATCTCTGTGATTAGCAACAACAAATACATCGTTTTTCACATTTTGATTCCGCAGAGATTGCGCTCACAATTTTTGTAACAATAAAAAAAATTAATAAAATTAATTATTCTCACGAGAAATTATTGTTTCTTCATCATTAAAATCAATATTGATAAACTTTTATGTTTCACAATGATGAGAGAGATTATTATATTTAGATTGTTACACAAGAACAATGTAAAACTAACATTATACTTCTTTATATATTTTCTATTGAATTACTTTTGCGCTTGAGTTATATCATGTAGAATTCAAGATAGATTTAATTAAAATTCGAACCATGCAACAAGCCTATTTTTTACATCGTTTTCGAAAGTTTGGTTTTCCTATGTGGAAAAAAAACAATATGTCTTAACGACAAAAAATATATTAGCATTCTTATTTAGTTCTAGCTGTCACACGAAAAAATTTTCAGAGAATAAATGACTTGCAGAAAGATGATAAGTAGAAAATTTGAAATCAATTTTTGGTCTTATAATTCCTGATCCTATAGCAGAAAGTATTGTGCAAATTCGTTGGTAATGCGATGATTAACCCTTTGGGGACGGGCGTGGTATATATACCACCTGGAGTATTTCTCAAAATTCAGGAATGATATATATTTCAAATCAATCAGAAGTGAGTGGAAATAACCTGTAGAGTAATTTTTCTGTGTTGATACAGTACATTATCAGTATTTATTTGGATTTTTTCTATACATTCTAATATGTCTACCTTGATATTTTTCCTATTCTCCTATATACATAAGACCTTCGTGTTCTCCTATCTATTGTCACTTTCGTTCTTTTCTTCTTCAAATACACAAGATATTAGTGTGAAGAATGTAGTGTTGGGTTATGCGTAATTGATTGTTTTCAAGTTTATCATACCCTAAAATACTTTTGATAATGTTTTTTCATTGAATAAACATCTGCTTCCACTCTAATAAAAGGCTTAATTTTTTCAAAAAGAACCCCGTCCTCAAAGGGTTAAGGAACTGTTGGACTCTCTCCTAATATTTATTTGTGGATTGATCGATCGATGAACAATGCGGCAACATATAAAATAACGTTGATACTTTCTTTGTAGTTTACAATTTGATGTAAAATATCATTTAAAGTAGCGGTGATTGGCAAACATTGATAATATTCATTCTCAGATTTTCATAAATGATTATCAAGAATTGCATCTGCTTTTTTAACGTACATTCAAATCATATTAATGAATATGAACATGTGACTGATGAAAAAAATATTGCTTTTGTCTGTAACACAAAGAATCTCTTTCGCGAGTTACGGCCATTTGCCTGCTAGACAGTTGCTCACCGGACAATGTTGAGAGTGAGGGTACGGGCAAGTGTTCGGCTGCAAAGTGGCCTAGATTTTCATTTCGCATGTTTCAATTTATAACGAATGGATTCAACTATTTTGAATTCTTGTCGAGCACGATATGTTTCAAGATAGGATAATGGAGCCATATACTATAGTTGAATAAAATAAATTCAAAAGTGTCGAGAAAACTCTTTTGTTATGGATGTACTAATTTTTATACCATCGTTACGAAGAAGACATAATGATATCTTGATGGCATATGTCTACTTGCATGATTACACACAAATTTGTTTTTGTTTTAAAAGAACACGAAACGTGATCTTAGATGGCTAAAGTGTTGCATACTTGTATTTGCTTAGTATGATATCATATCTATGATATAAACGGTAAGATTAGAGAAGTGCTAATATTGCAAGAAGTTTGCTCTATAAAAGGATTACTCTACCAACATAGGACAATCACTAACTTGGCGATACAACATATTCTCAGTCATGAACTTGATTATTGTAGTAATCTTAGGTCTACTACAGAATTTTCCGAATGTTATTCTTGGAACCAGCAATATTGGATATACAAGTAATATTTACGCTTTAATTTTTTTCTCGATTTCTATGAAAATAAATTTGACTTTGAATATAAAACGAATGATAGAAGACAGATAGATGATTATCAAATTTGATCTATTGCTGTATTCTAGCGTATACACATCCTGGCGGGATGCATCCAATGCAACAAATTGAATTGGTAAAATCAAAAATATCAGATAGGCAACAACCTTACTACAATGCCTATCTTCAATTATTAAATTATACGAATAATGCATCGAATCATACTACCCATGCTGTAGTTGATTTTTCTATTCCTGGCTATTACGTCAATCCTGCCCTACATATAAATAGATCATTCTGTCTTCAATCAGATGGATTTGATGCGTATGCTAGTGCATTGGCCTATCAGCTTAGTGGTGGTCAATCTAAATATGCTGATCAATCACTGCGCTTCTTGACTGCATGGGCCGAAGTGAACAAGAAATATTCTGATTCGGATGGTCCCTTAGTTATGACTTATGCAGGGACAGCGATGATTCTTGCTGGTGAATTACTCTCTAACTACAACGGATGGAATAACACAAATAAGCAGCAGTACTTCGATTGGGTACAAAATGTTTATCTGAAAGCAGCGACAGAAATTCGAACACGAGAGAATAACTGGGCAGATTGGGGTAGATTTGGATCGGTTTTGACGGCGTACTTGTTGGACAATGCGCAAGAGATGACTACAAATATCAATTTGATCAAAAGTGATCTCTTTCTTAAAATTGCCGATGATGGTCATATGCCTCAGGAAACAGTGAGAGAAGCTCATGGCATTTGGTATACATACTTTTCACTGGCACCAATGACGGCCGCATGCTGGGTCGTCTATGAAGCAACAGGTGAAAATCTTTTTACTAATTACTCGAAAGGCAATGCTTCGATTAAGCATGCACTCGACTACTTATTTTATTATAATCTCCATGGAACAGAATGGCCATGGTATCCAAATGTCACTGTGGGAACACCGGCAGGATGGCCAGGTGTCTTGTTTGAAGCCATGTCATCAATCTATAACGACAGTCGGTATGTGGAATATGTGGAAGCGTCAAGACCATTATGCTACGATCATCATCATTATGCTTGGGCGTTCCCCACGTTGATGCCAGTTCAATTAAACGATATTAAACACTATCTTGAGGGTGGGGATATGAGGGTATGAGTAAAAAGAACACCCTCATCTTCACCCATCAAAACCCACCTCATGTTCCTTACTCAAAGAAACACTCTAGTGCATCGCTGTGTATACTTTCTTTTTGTTTGGTTAAGAAAAA